TGTCTAGTGGCTTGTGATAAAAGGATGGATAACTCAACCCACAGTTGATTTCAAATGAGTCTGAGTCACACATATCAAGCATAAGAGCTATTCGACACATATGCCACTTTACAACAACAAAACTTATTCAGAAGTTCAACTCTATAGAGACACAAAGTGAGGGGAGAAATGATTTTTGTTTCTAGAGTGAGAGTGGACTTTAAATTATACAATCTAATACAACTTAAGAGACAACCCGACATGCAATGTCCAAAAGAACCTAAACTGCTCGAACCTCGACTACCCACTTTGTTCATTTTGAAACCATCAACGAGTATACGATATATATATTCCTACCAAGTGTCTCTACATTTATACATACACTCTTTGACTAAAACAATATTAACTTTTTCATTTTTCTTTCCTTTTTTTTTTTTATTTTATTTATTAAATCTCAAAATTGAATTAAATATGGTTAGACCACGTTGGTATGTACTAATTAGAAATGCAGGTAGGACCATAAATCTGTTGGATTAGGAATTGTGATATGGTGCTATCTTGCTGACGTATGATGTCTGTGGCTCACATGATTTCTGCACCCTTTTAATTCATTCCCCCTTCTAACTAGCTTATGGGTTACGACTTACCCACATGCCTTGCCTATAATGAGTGAATGTTGAATAATGTTCTCAAGAATAATTAAACGAGGAAGATAAAATAAATTGAAATTAAATTCACGAATAATATTTTTTTGGATTTCAGGTTTTTTCCGAACTTTATAAATAAATAATATTTTTAATTTCAATAGCACATTATTTTTCACCGTTAACCAAACAGTAACCTAATATTATTTCTCCATTTTTAAACCACTTATTTCTTCTTTTAAATTTCAAGGTCCCACATGGGTTATCACAAAGGAAAATGAGAAGGAAGCTGGATTCTTTGAAAAATATGAATTTTTCTTTAAGAAATTTTGCCCGGTTTTACCAGTGCCGAGCCAATGTGTTCAAGGTCGAACCTGTTTTTCGACAGATTCCAAATTTGAACTTTGGCAGTTTTAGGTGATGACCAGATTGATTCGGAAGTTTTCTGGCCAAATCGGTTGGTGGTCGAATCTCTTAGAAATGAGGAAATTACACTATGTCAGATATTTAAAGATGATAACTCTAAAACCAGATATTAAGTTTATTTGATCATAAATCCAGTATTAATCAAAATTAAAATCATTCTCCCTCGTCTCAATCCCTTACTCTCGCCTGCACACACTCTCTCTCATCTATCACGCTTCAGTGGCTCCAACGACAATTGGTAGAAGAAACAACCCATAAATGGAGCCGAATCGCAAATATGAGCGACGTTTAGATCTGAGCAGCTATGAACTCGCGATCTAAGCAATGTAGTGGTGAATTAGATTTCGAAAAGATTCTTTACTTCTTGGATGAAGTTGTTTGTAGAGCACCCTCACTGTGCTATAGGCCCGCACCATTTTTTTATTGGCACGGGACCTCCGATGTCAGGGTGCTGTGAACCGAGCCATGTGCCATGCTATGCACACAGCGCGATCCTTATTTCTTCCATACAAAAGTGATAGTTGTATTTCAACTTTTGTGGGAAATGGGGTTAGGATCGTCGATGGAGAAATTGATTTCGGATCTAAAACCAGATTTAAAATCACTTGAATTTTTTTGTAACTATTCATTTTTTTTTTTGGGATTTGGGAGGTGTAGATTGTTACGGTGGTGGTTTGTGACGGTTTTTGTGGTGGATGTTAATGATGGTGATGATGTGGCGCGATGGTGTAGATTTATTGGTAGTGGTGGTTGAACTCGCGATCTAAGCAATGTAGTGGTGAATTAGATTTCGAAAAGATTCTTTACTTCTTGGATGAAGTTGTTTGTAGAGCACCCTCACTGTGCTATAGGCCCGCACCATTTTTTTATTGGCACGGGACCTCCGATGTCAGGGTGCTGTGAACCGAGCCATGTGCCATGCTATGCACACAGCGCGATCCTTATTTCTTCCATACAAAAGTGATAGTTGTATTTCAACTTTTGTGGGAAATGGGGTTAGGATCGTCGATGGAGAAATTGATTTCGGATCTAAAACCAGATTTAAAATCACTTGAATTTTTTTGTAACTATTCATTTTTTTTTTTGGGATTTGGGAGGTGTAGATTGTTACGGTGGTGGTTTGTGACGGTTTTTGTGGTGGATGTTAATGATGGTGATGATGTGGCGCGATGGTGTAGATTTATTGGTAGTGGTGGTAACTTGGTTTGGACGTGATGGTTTAAGGAAGCAGCGCACAAATTATGGTGGGTTTTAGTTTTAGCCTTTGACGATTTAACACAATAACATACAAGTGATGGAAATGACTGTGACGAGGTAGTACGATATATTAGAAGTGGTGATGACGCCACAGATTAATAGCTGGGTGGCGACAGATTGGTATAGTGGAAAAGATTCATTTGGTTGTAGTGATTGTGGTTGGTACATGCGGTGGTAGTGGTGGCATGGCATACATGTGGATCGATGTCCATAGTCGATGATCCTGGTTGTGTGTAGGTCACAATTGATTGACTTTCTGTGATAAAATCTCTTGAATATGTGACCTGTCAAAGTACCTAGGTTATATGTCAAAGTGCAAAGGCCACGGGTCAAATTCAAGAGATTTAGTCAAAAGCTATTAGATCAAATCACAGGTCACAAATCCAAAGATTTGTTTACCCGCCATTGGATGAGGTCACGACCACATATAATAGGGCACATGTCAAAGTGCATAAGTCACAGTTCACAAACTCAAAAAATTTGTTCACGAGCTATTGAATCAAGTGATGGGTCACATGTCAAATGAATAGGTTACAGGTCATGGATTCAAGAGATTTGATCAAAAACCATTGGCTTAGGACATGTCACATATTTAAGAGATTTGGTCTCGAGCCATTGGTTCAAGTTACAGGTTATATGTCAAAGTGCATAGGTCACATGTCACAGATTTAGTAGATCTGATCAAAGTCGGTGATTTCTTTGACCTCGGCTATTCGAATTGGTCACAAATTCAGTTAAACAGATTTCAACGTTAAGAATTGAAATTATTTGCTTTGATAAGTACTTTGTAAATTATATCAGGGGATTGTTTTTCAATTTTCAATTTTCAATTTTAAAAAATTGTTTTAAATTGTGTTTCTCCCTCTATCTATACTGATTGAGTCAGTGATGCTCATGTTCGTAGCTGAAGAAGTCGCTGGTGAGGTAGATGTCAACGGACGGATGTCGATGACTGTAAGAGGGATGGCAACGGGCGAGCGCATGAGTGTGGAGGTGGTGTTGGTAAATTAATTTAATTTGATAATATTATTGTTTAAAATTAAAATAGAATACCTGACTTTTGCGTTTTTAAAGTTAATGTTTGGAAATTGATTTGATGCATACTTAATACCTTATGATTTTTTTCCATTAGTAATACCAAGTCCAACTCGTTTATCTAATATGCCCAAAGTTTAATATTCAAATATAGGACTACATAAGCCCACAAGCCCAATTTCAAATTATAGCCCGAACCCATTTCGTAATTTGCACGTGTAGTACAATTCGTAAGACCCAGGCCCAATTCATTAATTCTCTGTGTTTTGTACCCGAGAGCTTTAGAACATCGCAGTTAATCTCATCTCAAAAATCAGTTTTGTCACTTCAATAAATAAGTTTGTCCAATACGTGACAATCAGGGCATGTTCGGTGTACATAATCGAGGACAGACCGACAGTACAATACACAAATTTTAGCTTCATTTTCTTTCATAATTCCATCTCATATTGTCTAATCGTGTTCCACCTTATCGATTCTCTTAACTGTTAATTGTAGACAACTCTTTCTTTTATACACACATACATATCAACTCTTTCTGGACAAAAAATATGAAATTGGGACTCCATAGATTTGACATTTACCTGAAAAAAATGTACATGTACCTAAAGGATTGCTCCCTCCATACTCGATGCCTAACATGAGAGCACATGATAAAATATTAAGCATGGTTTAGGCACAACACAATCTTCTGTGTTCTGGCTTTCTTCTTTCTCGATTACGGAAGGAGTTCCCACACGTTACATTTGAGAGAAATTACAGGCCAAAATGCCAGTCGAGAGTGGCCTTTAGTATGAGATTTTAGCTTCTTTTTGATTTTTGTGGACTCAAGTACCAAACAGTAACATACTGTTACTCTTGTTGCGATAAGGGATTTTAGCTCAGTAGCTCCCAATGGAGAGTCTTAGTTCTATATCAACTTTTAAAATAAATACAAAAAAATTATTTGTGCATTTAATTAAAAAGCTAGTTAATTAATTTAGGCCTTTTCTTTACCTGCGGTCTTCTTGAATTTTCTTGGTTTCCTTACCAGTCATTTCCTTATGAGCCAAACCCTTGTCTGAAAACAGCTAGTAAAAATATTTCAAACTTGGATTAATTAATGTATAATAATTGTTGATAATAAATGTTATTTACTTCTGTCTTGAATTATACAGACACACTGCATGGTAATTTCGAAAATAATAATAATAATGCAATAGAAAAATCATACATGTCTTAATTTTCTTTGTGAGGGAAGAAATCAACAATGAAATAGAAGAATCAGACAATTCTAAAGAATGCAAGCCGAAGAACAGACTAATATTTTCTAATGAATCGAAAACCAACTGCACATCATTTTAACGTTACAAAATCATCATAGGATGTTCATCAAACATAGTATTAAAATCATACAACAATTCAATATGCATAAACAAACAAAACAAATAATTCAAAGGCCTAATTTTGATCACAGTACCTGATCATCACACACAGAGACGAAAACGAACAAAAATACAAACATAAACTCGAACACTGATAATTAATCTATGAGTTATTTGTAGAAGAACAGTCACAGACTACTTCATTTTGTACCTCCCTGCGGTGGAAGCTCCGGTGGCAACCACAGGCGGCGCAAGTGAGTGCACCCTCGGTTCCTTCCCCGCCACAAGGCATGAATTCTCGGCAGCCGTCGACGGCATATCCTCCAACACTCGCTGCGTGATTTTTTTGACACTCTGCATATCTCACAGTCCTAGAAGTAAGCGACGAATTCACTGAATAACTTGAAGAGTCGTTCCTCTTCAGCACAACTTGAAGCTTTTTCATCGCTTTTGATCAGAAGATTACTGACACTTTTGAAGAAATTACAGTACGAAAATTCAAATTTTCAGACGAGAAGGATGTGAAGAGGAAAGAGGAAGAGGGCTAGGTTATTTTTGGTGCCGAGAGAAACCCTAACCCTAGAAGGCATATTTATACAGCTAGCCACTGAACCTTTATTAGTGGTTAATACTCGAATATTAACTTTTCAAAGCGCCGCTATATTTAAATCATGCTACAATTAATGGTTAGATTGGCCAAATTTAGGTTATGTTATTGTGTCCCTTCAATTATCCTAGAGATTTGAATTCTCGACCTTTATACATTTTGATATTATGTAACTTTAAACTGTTACAAGGTAATTTCTGAACTTTTGATAAAATTGAAATGGTACAAAGACGATTAACATGGATTTTGCGCAAGGATGATATTGGAGGAAGTTTTTTATTTGGACTAATTGGTTTCATTTATATAGAATGACCGTGTAATTACTTCCTATAGAACCTAATATTCTTATGTGGCCCTAAACTAATTAAGGGTCCATTCGACAAGATTTTCAAAAAGTCAAGAGCTACTTCTTAGATTTTTCTGAAATGATTTTTGGAAGAAGTTGGAATAAAGTAACTTTATAAAGAAGTTCCTCTACTAGAAGCAGAAATAAAAGCAAAAACTTCGTCAAAAGGGCCCCAAGTTAAAGTGCTAAAGGATGGTTAATTATGGGGGATGAACGTGGATTCGATAGTTGAACCTTCCAAGTTTGTGTGGACAAAGTCAAAGGTCTCTTTGTTTATTTACATGCAAATAGTTTTAACTGATGTCAGTCATTATAAATAATATTGATAGGTTTACACTTTCAAACACACACACCACTAAGCTAAGAGAGTAATGCATTTTTTATAAGAATTAAATTAACGAACAATTAGTGTCAATAAATCTTAATTAGCAGTAAAAAGGAGACATCTCAACAGGGAATTATTAATTATAATTAATACATAATCACTCCTTCAGCATCAGTAATTCCTAATTCCATTCTAATTGATTGCCTGGTTTTACATCTCAATTTCTACGGTAGGATTATTTCTAAATTCAATTTTAAGCTCCTGTTTGGTTTTCATTCTTTCTCCATTAAAATGAAAAATATGACCGTTATCCATCACATTAAACTATCAAATTTGAATTTCTATCTCTTGTGTGGGTCCATAACGGCTATATTTTTCATTTTCATTCTTACAAAAATGAGAGACAAACACCCTCTAAGAGTAGAATTCCGTGGAAAAAGTGTAATCTTCATTTGATAAACGTGTTGTACTTCTTAACTAAAAATAAAATTAATTTGTGTATTAGTAACTTTCATGAATATTTGATCATTATTTTATGAATATTTCGTACAAAAACGGGAAATATTAAAACACCCGTGACCAGCCCTTTTTTCTGCCTACTTTTAAAAAGATTTAGGTAAAGAAATGTGGAAGATTCTCCCTCTTATTTACGATAAATTATTTAACTAAAAAAGTACTACTGCACAAATGATATAAGAAATTATGCTATTTAGAAAGAACGACAAGTTAATCAAATTGAGATCCCAATTTTTTTTTTTTTTTCTATATACCTCGTTCCTTATTATTTTATTTTTCTAAACGTTAATAAAAGTTGATATTATCCAAAGGGCCTAACATGGATGTCGAAGAAATATTCCCTATAAAGGGGGAATATAAATTAGGCATTTGGTTTGGTAACGTGGTGACGTGGCTAGACTTTTTGTATGTTTGTTGTATAAAAGCCTTTTTGCTTCTATACTTGTGCTGCCCAATAGTTTGGTCTAAAATGTTTTGGTCCATCCATCACTTCTTACCAAACTCAAGTTGCTATCACCAACTAAAAGAACTTATGTCATGTACCACGAAGGCTGATCTACAAGACAATCTATTTAGTGACTAAGTTCAGCAATTCAGGGATAATGCTTTCGAAAATTGTGAATCGAGTTAGAAATTGATCGATCTTTAGCTAAGAAACTGTGTAGTGAAAAGTAGGAGATAAACACGATCAAGAACATGGTAGAATTACATAGATTTACAGGAGATCCCAGAGAGATGCAAGGAGTTAGTATTTGGAAGAGAGACATAGGTGAATGAACAATATGAAACAGAACCACATATGAGTTTATAATACAAGAGGGAAAAAAAAAACATATTTTACAATTGACAATTATAGCACAATGACATTTTGTCCTCGTTTGGAGTAGTTAAAAATCGGACTGTTAGTAGATTTTGGTAAAAGTTAATGAAATGTAAGGTTAAAAAATTGATAAAAAATTACGAATCCCATAAAATGTGGTTGAAAATGAGTTTGATGAAAATGAATCTTAGAAATGAGGGCCAAAACAAGGGCTTTATCTATTTCAACCATATATTTTTATCAATTCATATTTTTTTTTTCATAAATAAAAATCTACTAAAATTTAATTTTAATTGAATTTGATTCCTTGTTCATAACATATTCGTATTATTTATGTGTAAATTATTGTAACAGTCATAATTACATAAATCTTTAACTTTTCATGCTCTACTTTTTGATGACTCGAGTTGAAGTATTTTGCCTCAATAATATTTAAACAATTATCTTAACCTTTTATCAAGTTAAATTACTAAGTATTTTGTATCTTCAGCAAAATTTTGAGTTCAACGGTTAAAAGTAAAATATCTATGCAACGAGAGACTTCATGAATCATGATAATGGCTTTTGAACATTTTTCTAGTCAACAAAAGGGCAAGGCAACTGAAGGAGGTAGCAAACATAATTATGTTGGAGAAATGGAAGCTGTCAAATGCTTAATATTCACAATTTGTTAACATAAATAGTATTTCAATATAAATTAGTAAGTAATAAGTATCAATTAAATTACTCAATCTAACTATATATATACATTACAATTAGTTTTACAATCAAAATAAGTCAAGCTGATTAACTCGAAATACTTTAAGACCCTTTTGTTTAGATAAAAATTCGATAAAAATTTAAGTTAAAATCAATGATTATTTTTGCCAAACGTTTCATCGACAGTTTTTATAAACTTCTTAACCACACTATATTTTTAGCTAAACCAAACAGGGGCTACTAGTATTCTTGATACGTATAACATAATACACAATAAGCCCTAGTTTGTTTAAGCTAAAAATTAAATCCGTAGCACATTTTGATAAAAATGGTGAATTGCGTAGTTGTGAAGTTGATAAAAATTGTGGATCTTATAAAATGTGTGATTGAAAATAAATTTGGGAAAAAATAAGATTTAAAACATGGAAGCCAAACTGGCGTAAATAAGACTCAAATTAGTTTTTCTGTATTATTGAGCTAGCTTACATTCTACCTTCCAAATAAGTCGCAAGAGTATGTTATATATAATATTTGATATGACTAGAGAGTACGAAAATAATTCTTTATCATATTTTTAATATTGTTCAACACTATCTAATCTAGCCTATCAAACAAGTCTCGAAAGTACTCATTGCAATTAAGTGTTTTTTATTTTCTTTTAAATGCTCTTTAATCTAGCTTATCCATCAAGTCGCAGGATTACTCATTAGGATTAAGTGGAATCAAGTAGTTAGTAAGGACTGATGAGGGGTTGATGGAGACGTAAAGATAGGGATGACTGTGCTTTGAGGGAGATAATGAAAGATGAAGCACTTTGCTTCTTACCAACCCGACCCATCTTTTTTGATGCTTAATAAATCTTGGGGCCATTAATAGAGCATCTTAGGCTTCTAACCAAGCTTTTTCTTGCTCTTTTGGTTTGTGGAGATAATGGGCATTAATAATACCCATAACAAGGTGATACTTATATATAGTCTTATTTATCAAAAATAGAAAGTGGTATGTTAAAGAGGAAAGTTGGCATTGATTGATGAAACGGGCAATTAGGAATCTTATCTTGAATATTTAATGCTCATATAGTACTACGTACAAATATTGGGTTCATGTCATTAAAACAGTGTGACGGGTCCATTATGTAAGCTAATTAGTATAGAGGTGTAAAAAGGGATCCGGACATGTCATGAACAAGTCAAGATGATACTTTATTGTCTTAATTGTGGAAATTAGGACATAGATATGTTTATTTTAATGAGGAAAGTTGATGTTAATTGATGAGATGGGTGACTAGGAATCTAATCTTGAATATTTAACGTCATATAGTACCGTGTACGAATATCAAATTCATTTCATTAAAACAGTGTAAAGGGTGTCAGCTAACTAGTGTAGAGGTGTAAAAGGGGATACAGTCGTGTCATGAACTGGTCGTACTAAGTCTAGTTATAGAAAGTCTTGGTTGGTCGGCCATGACAATGACATGAACCAATGGGTAATGTCGAGCAAATTGAAAGACGACACTTCATTTTATGCATTCTGAGTATGAGGGTAAAAAACAAGGTAATTTTGAAATTGCAATCAAAGTTAGATTTGCTAGATTGGTAAAGACCGGGAGAAGTAGTCGATATGACAAATTTATGAACTTATCTTTGTCCAGCATAATCCAATACAAATACAATAAACATGTCTCAAAAATTTCACTAAAATAAATTCATTTTACAAATTTCTCTTGTTGAAAACATTCAAATTTATCAAATCTATTCACATAGTATATTGAAACGAAGATGAGTCCTAACTCTTGGTCTGACATTCAATGACGTTAGGGTACTCAACTTCAATAAGAGAAGGGTACAAATAATGCGGGTAGATGGACATTTAACCAAAGAACACAATCTTTGCTACCTATACCTCAGTTCTCTTCTTTCATTCCCATATCTCACATGTCCAAATATTTTCCACAAGTTTTTGGTTTTTGCTCCAATTATACTTCTTTGTTGAAACTTAAAGCAGCTTCAAGAGATTATTAAATGCAAAACACTTCACTTCTTTTATTATTGTAATTATATTTGAGTAAATTAACTATTGACATCTGTGAATATATGTACTAATAAAAAAAAAAAGAAAAAAACCATAAATGATAATTGGAAAAATGAAATAAAGAGCTAAAAATCAAGAGCCCATTGAAATGTGTTACTCCTCATACATAAAGCTCCCAATGGAAGCCACGTGAGGCACTACGTGCAAACATCTAGTAGTCAATCAAGTCAAAATAAAGAAAAGGCAAGAGTTGCTCTACAGCCGAAGCGCTATCTCT